GACTGTGGCTGTTGTGTTTCCTGATGAGAAAAGGTGCCTGACTGAGGTAGTGACCACTTGCACAACTTTTGGCCAGCCTGAGCACTGCTGCCTTTTGCATGAGAAGTGTCACTGGATATCCTGAGAGTATGAGGCAAGTCTGGAGTCTGTGTTTAGGGGGAAGGGAAGATTAAAGGAAAAATCTGTTAAGGAAAGAAGCTTTGCAAATTCTGCTGATCACAGAGCAATTTGGTTTAGCTTCTGTTCTACCTTTCCTTCTTGCACACGACTGCTTCTCTCCTGGAGGGCAGTGTACAGCTCTAGTCCTGAAACATGATTTAACCTGAAATATAGTGTTGATTTTTGGCATTGTCACAGAGTTATATAATACAATCATAACAAGGTTTGCTTACCTTTGAAATCTATGCAGTAATGTGATATTGTATCATTTAGGTTGTTTGAGTCAGACAACTGTAAGGACCTTTTAAGTAGATAGAACTTGTAGGCCATTAGCTATTCCTTTTGGTTGCATGGAAAGACTTTCTTTCATGCTTACAGCTCTAAATTATGGGTAAAAGTAAATGGATAAATTAAACAGTAGGCACTGGAAGCACCTAGAGAGTGAGTCCTATGAGGAGCAGCTGAGGGAGCTGGGGTTGTTTAGCCTGGAGCAGAGAAGGTTCGGGGTGACCTTACAGTTCTCTGTAAGTCCCTGGAAGGAGGGTGTAGCCAGGTGGGAGTTTGCCTGTTCTCACAGGTAACCAGCAACAGGACATGAGAAAATGGCATCAAGCTGCAGCAGAGGAGGTTCAGGTTGGACAACAGGAAGAATTTGTTTGTGGGAAGGGTGGTTAAGCATTGGAGTGGACTACCCAGGGAAGTAGTGGAGTTCCAATCCCTGAAAATGTTCATGAAACACCTGGACCTGGCACGCAGTGCTGTGGTTTAGTTGATAACATGTTGTTCAGTCAATGATCTTGGAAGTCTTTCCTCATTATTTCTGTCTACTGTAAAAATATTCTTGAAATAATTCTGTTTATGTGTAGTAGGAAATCAATGGCACTTGAAAGTGTTTTGGCTCCTGTAAGTGTGCTGGTTTCTCTTAACTGCAGGAAACACAAGAATACACACGCAATGTTGTCAGATACTGCCTTGAAGCGCTTCAGGACTGGTTTGATGCTATCAACTTTGTAGATGAGGTAAATATCCTTAGTGAATATAAGCCAAGTACTGTGAAAATCTGATTAAATTTCAAAGGTGATACACTCCCTACACCCAGCCCCCTCTCCTTAATTTAAGTGACTATTCAAGCAAGTGATCAGAAAAGGATTGCCTTGCTGAAATTAGTTTGTAGTTAATACTTCCAGTGTTATGTCCTAGGATCCTTTTTTTCTTGTAGAGTCTTGGTGATTTAGATTTGCGTGTGCAGGCTTAAGCTGTGAGTTTTAAAAGCAGTGCTATGGATACACTGCTGTTGTGCTGTATGAAGAGCTGAACAAAGCAGGGGCAAAACAGAAGTCCTCTTCTGCTTTGGCAATTGGGGAGCAGCTTTGCCACTTGGCAAGGAATACTTAGTCAACTCAGAGTGCCATTAGCTTCTGGGGACTCAGTAAGAGAGAAACTACAACTGTCTGAGGGAAAGTTCTGAATAATGAGAAGGACAGGGCAATGAAGTACTGCTAGGTTTGTGGAAAGTAAGTCCATCAAATGAAGACATACAAGATACTGTCCTCAGTGGTTGTGCCAAAGATACTTGTATGCTTGTTTTTAAAAATATATTATATTAAATACCTTTATTTTACTTTCAGCCAGCACCTAACCAAGTTACTTTTCATTTGCCACTGCACCGTTACTTTGCCATGTTTTTAAGTAAGGTAAGCACATGTTATAGTTTCACAGAACATGGAAATTCCCTGTTTAATGTGGTCATTCAACACAGCATTCAACAACATGCTTGCTTTTGTTTCTAGGCTGTTAAATGCCAAGAACTAGATCTGGATACTATCCTGCCAGATCAGGAGATGCTGATGAAATTAATGATTCACCCACTTCAGATTCAGGTATGGGCAGACTTTTAATCGAATATAAAAATAAGCCATATGTGACAGTAACACAAAGAGTAGTTAGGGTAACATTTTTTTTCCCTTCCTATTTCCAAAATTAAAAATGTGGCATTAGTTATCATACTCTGAGAAGCACACAGTAATAGTATTCATTATAGCTCTTCCAAAATGGTAGGAATGAATAATCCTTTGAAAACAAAATTGTAATGTGAACAGAATGGAGTGCAGGTTGATAAGAAACCCAAATCTGGAAATTCTGTATTTTAAATTGAGAGTGAGTTCTTTTTATGTTCCCTGAACAGGCAAGTCTTTCTGAGATTCACAGCAATATGTGGGTTAGAAATGGTCTACAAATTAAAGGACAGGCCATGACTTACGTGCAGTCTCATTTCTGCAATTCGATGATTGATCCTGACATTTATCTGCTGCAAGTAAGTTATGTTTCCTGAGAAGCCAAGCCAGTATTATTTACCTACCACCTATTGAATAGAATTAATTTAATAAAATTAATTTACTCTCTTTCTACAGGTCTGTGCCTCTAGACTGGACCCAGATTATTTTATTTCATCTGTTTTTGAAAGGTAGGACTAAAAGATGAATGCTCTCGTTCAGTGTTGTGCTAGCTGTTGTGCTAATTTATAGTGTTTAATAGAGAAATTGCATATCTGATCCGTATCTTCAGTGTTACATCTCTGCCCAGCCAGAACTAACACTTACCTAAGGGCTCTACTGCAAGAGGTATCTCCTGATTTTTAACAGCATTGGCTTTTGATTTACAGGGCAGTAGTGAAGCTTCAGATATTTGTTTTCTGAGCATCCTTAGGGTTTTTTAAGTTTCATACATGTTCATATGCTAGGATATTCTACCCTGAAGAAGTAGATAAGTAGAACTGCAATTGTAAGAGACACGGAATGTTTACTTTTCTGGAAAAAAGAGTCTGAACACCAATTAATATGCACTATTTTTTGTATGTTGATAAATATAAGGTGTTTTCATGTGGGGTTAATGTTACATTCCATTGATTGTTAAATAAAAACTGAAATTTAAAAAGAAGAGGGTTTTCATGTATGTTTATTTGCAGTTTGGGTTTTCATTTGGGGTTTTGTATTTCATTTTAGGTTGTTGTGAGTACTATCCTGAGTTTATCAGTACATTTCACATTGGTGTTTTAATGTTAGAGAATGTTTAATTGTTGTTTCTCACTTTACTGTTTGCTATATAGATTTAAGGTGGTAGATCTGTTAACGATGGCATCACAGCATCAAAATACAGTTCTTGACTCAGAGCATGAAAGGTCTATGCTGGAAGGAGCCTTAACATTTTTGGTCCTTTTGTTAAGTCTTCGTTTACACTTAGGTAAGAGTCACTGCTTTAGGAGGATTTGTATGTAAATAACATTATTACACATTCATTTATATTCAGCACTTTGTAGGTGTCTTAAAGCTGTTTAACCATATAGCAACTTAAAGCATTCAACACTCGGTTTCATCTTTGCCAGTTACTGAATTTTAATCCCTTGTGAAATAAAAATAGATATAATACATTAAAATGGAGAAAAATGGCTTTAATGGAAGTGGTTGATTTGTGTAGGTGATGACATGAAAATTTTGTATCTTTTCCAGAAAGACAGCAGTTTGAGTTTGTTCTGGTATTTTCTAATTGAGATCGTGCCTTTCATAATATTTGCACACCCTCTTTTTTCCCCCCTGTATTTTTATGGCACTGTATTATTACTTAATATTAATTTGTTTGACATATTTTTAATGTCAAATGAAAGCTGAATGTGTGTTTTAAAATCATGCTATTTTAACAGCTTTTTACATTTCATTGCTCCAGGAATGACAGATGATGAGATCCTCAGAGCGGAGATGGTAGCCCACACAGTTCATTATTGGATCTCATATCCTTGGAATATATTCCCTAATGTGCCTGAATGAGAATGACAGGTGCCTGGATAGTAGTGAGGCTTGAACAACATGTTTTTAGGTTACATCATTTAAAAACTGTGTAAAGGTGTGTTTGTATATACTTACTAGCAAAGGCGTTTGCTCCAATTTTGGTTCTTCTTACAATAAATGCAATACTTTTTAATAGTTTAAATTAATTTTGATATGAAATGCTGTACTGGTCTTCAGAAGTCTTTTAGGTGTGAGGTAAAACGTGTCTTCCAGCAATGTTGTAGGAAGTTAAGCCAAGCATCTCATTTTTCTGGATTTGAGCCTTTGATTTTTGCTAAGTTTATTCCAATATAAAACGAAGGCATTCTACATTATATTGGCTTTTGCTATCAATAGCTGAAAATGCAAATAATGGCAATCCTGCATGTTGCTTTGACATTAGAGTGAAGTGCATGTGTTATGGGGAAAGAAAGCAAACTCCAAGGAGTCCTTCTGCACAGGCATAGGATTCATGTCCCTGGACAGCTGACTATAAATATGCAGGTTTTCCTGCTATCACTCCTAGGCTGTGTAGGCAAACTAAGTAGCTTGTGGTTGCATAGAAGAGCTTGCCATCCAGGGATAGCCATTGAGCAAAAGTATTAGGAATATCAAGATAGGAAAGGATGAGATTGAGACTAACAAATGCATAATAAGAATTTTTAATTATTATGATATGATCTAGTAACTCAGTCAAGTATGTAAAATAAGTGGTTACTTAGAATAATTCACTTAAGTGAATGACATAACTATGTAAAATAAGGGAATCATTTATATAAGCAATCACTTATCACTGAGCAGTTTATTTACTTGTAAATGCTGCTTGTGTTTTAGGGTAATGTCAGTAGGTCAGTTAAGTATTGCTACCAAAAGTGAGAACTATGGAATCTAAGGTGCCGAATTATTTATTGTGTTTATTGATCCTGAGCTATTTGCTTGCTTTTTGTGCACTTGAATGAAAATGCAAAATATTCTCCCTATGAAGAGAGAGAAAGTGTTTGTAAAGAAAGGCAGTAACAGAAACTTTATCTACGCTCCAGGCAGTGGTTTTTATTTCTTTATATTAAGTAGTAACAGCTTGAACCAAACATGTAGCAAGTCTTACTTTAAAAAGTTTAGTGTCCTAGCTGGGAGGCTTAGATTCCCTTCAGTAACAGTTACTGTTTGTAGCAGCTGGAGCATACAGACCTCTTGTGGTAAGCACAGAGCACTGCTGAGATGTGGTCTGAAATGACTGCCTGAAAATACCGAGAGGGGAGTGAAATTCTGTGTCCTGCAACTAAATTAACTTTGCTTTCCTTAACATAAGCATTACATTCCAGAAAACCCTAATCCTAAAAGTGGTATTATTCCAGGAAGCTTAAGCTTTGAATCGGTCCTGTCAGCGGTTGCTGACTTTAAAGCCCCTGTTTTTGAACCTGGAGGTTCCATGCAACAAGGAATGTATACACCTAAAGGTATGATAATCAGTGTTCTCTTGCAACATACTCATTGCTAAGATGCCTAACCAGGTTTTGTTTGGTGTTGTACTAGTGGGCTTTTTTCCTTAAAAGACCCAAAAAGCAAACCCTACCTACCAGTTGAAAACTCCACCCCATCCTCCCCATGAAAAAGCCAAACCTACCACCCCCACCAAAACCCCACAAAACTTGCTCATTATTGTCCATTGCTTATATTTAAGAGCATTGCTAAAGACTATCAGTATAAAATTTAATTTTAATAAATTGATTTTGATCTAGAGTGAAAATGAGCTTCTCATACTAATCAAGTATTCTCAGAAAGCAAAGGAAAATGGAGAAATGAAAAATTTTCTTATTTGTGTTTTGCTGATCTACATACTTAATTATTCATGATTTAAATAAATCTGATGGATATTTAGTAGAGTCTAGAACTGCTTGCACTAGTGAAATGTCAATTGCAAAGATACTTTATTTGAACTTTTCCACCTTTTGACTATTTGAAGATACCACAATACATAATTCTTTATTTTGTGTTGCTTAACTGTATTAGTATCCTGTAACATTTTTTGCAGTCACAAGTGATTTTTCTAGAAAAAAGTTCAGGCTAGACTTTTTATAGATTATTGTTCTGAAATTCTACAATGCATACAGTGCAAAAATGGCAAGTTTCTTTCCCTGACCAGCTTGTCATCTAAATTGGACTCAACACAGCATTGGTATATCAAAGGAGAGAAATAATTTAAGAACTTAGTGTTCCATTACTGTGTCCTGTCACTGAGCAGATAAGCCTGTAGAAATCTGAAATGCTCCATGTGCAGTGGTTGTGCTGCAGGCTAATGGCAAAGCTGAAGAAGGATTAACTCCTTCCTCCCCCACACACCTCCCTTGAGAACTGGGAAGGTTAGAGACTGGCAATTTAAACCATTTGTTTTTGTGGGTTTTTTTGGTGGGAGTGGTGGTTAATGTAGGTACTAGTATTGTAATAACATGTTTGCCAGTTTTTGTACTGGAAGATTGAAGTGTCGAATTAACAACTAGTGAAGTGATTTTGTGAAACCAAAGTTCTGGGAATTGATTAATCGTGGCTCTTTGATGTGGAATTAGGCAGCTGAACACCCATATATCTAAAATAACTTAATGTTACATAAACTACATTTCCTTATATCCTGTCCGGTTTCTGGAGCTCATTACATGCTGGTCTTTTTCATAACACAGTGTGAAGGGAAAATAAATGGATTATGCTGGTTTTAGTCATAGCACTTTGTATTTAGGAAATCTAGTGTTAGATAACAGTGTCTGGAGTTTTTTGTATATAGGGTATTTTTAACTTAAGTAAACAATTTGTTCAAGAGGTAAACAGTCTTAAGTGTCTCGTGTATAGCATTGAATAATGAAGTGGTTTATAACACTATACAGATTCCCTTTTTCTTGAAGTAATAAAAGCTGAAAAATCTACTGCAGGAATAAAAGCTGACATGGCTTTCTTTACTCTCTTAAGTGTTTATATTCTCCATAAGATTATATAGGTTTTCAAACCCTTTGCTTTTAAGAACTGTAGGCCTGTCACAGTTAAAACAAGTAATTATCAGATCAACTCCCTCTAATCCTCTAATCCCTTGTTTCCCTAAATTTGAGGGGGTGGAATCTACTTTATGTTCACAGATCCCTAGATTTTGCTTCCATTAACCATCATTTAAGAAAACAAAACCACCCAAACCAACTTCCAGAGCCAGGTTCTTTCTACACCCTGTAGATTTGTGTGCTGAAGATGAGCTGTGTGTGCATTTCCAATATTCACTGTATGGCTCACTCAGTCCTTTTTGCTCATTATGTATTAGCAGCCCAAACAAATTTGGTGTCTGTTTCAAACTGTAATACTAAATTCTGTCCAGAAACAATGTTGGAGTTTTTTTCACAGGCTAAATTTAATTCTATTTCATACACAGTGGAATACTCTGCTAAGTGTTCTCTCTCAGCAGTCTGTGAGGATATTTGTAGAACTGTTAGCCTTAGCAGGGGTTAATACATAGAGGATAGACTAGGTGTGAGTACAGACACTTGTCTTCCTGCCTGGGGAAATTAATCTCAGAAGTGTGGTAAAGCTGCTTATTTCTGCCTGTGGAAACCCTGAAGAATGTTGTAAGCACTTGTGTTGTGTTACGCCTGCTGGTGGAGCTAAAATTCTGTATCCACTGGGTTTCTTTCTTCCTTGTTTTGTGATCATTGAATCTTGCCTTCATTTTTTTCTGTTAGGAGAGCTAAACACTTCAAAACAATTCATAGAATTCATGTCTTCATTTGGCTTTAGATTGGAACTTAGTTTTGTTTTTGAATAACTTTTAAAAAGAAAAAAAAGGTCGTCAAATGGGATATTTTTATAGACTTTAGATTTTTCTGTTTGTGATTTCTCTGAACAGCCACTCCAGATGTCACTTTAGAGCTGCTAAATTAAACGGATGTAATTAAGCTTTTAATGCTGAAACAATGCATAGATACTAGTTGTAAAACAAAGGCATGTTTGTAAAGGATTGATCACATATTATTTGATACAAAGCGTGACCATTTTTGATACTGAACAAGAAATTATGTTGTTGCAACAATTTTGTTCACTACACTTAGTGGGAAAATATCATCTGCCTGCAAACAGCTCCACAGTCTTTACTTCCTACTTTCAAGAGGCTTGTGCTTATCATGTACCAAGTGAAAAATAATGTAAACCTTTTCTCACATGTACATGGAAATGAAAAAGAGCAAAACAAGATGCATACAGAAATGATGTTTTGGGGGTTGCTTAATAGTGTGTTATTTTTTTTGTTTTGAAACCAATCAAAATTCGCAAAAACTATTTTTCTATTTTGATAAACAGTGGTAATTATTAGTACAGAAAGTATTATTAGTAAGAATTATTATAAATGCCTGTAGTTTGCCAGGAGAAATTATATAATAGAATTGACATAATTAAAGCTAGTTAAGAAGAGAATCTAAAATAACTGATAAGGTCTCTAAAGAGAATGTTAACATGTAACTTCTTTCAAACAACAGCTGAAGTCTGGGATAAGGAGTTTGACCCTGTCATGGTCATACTTCGAACAGTTTACCGCAGAGATGTGCAGTCTGCAATGGACAGATACACAGCATTGTAAGTTGGATCATTTTTAGAAATGCAACATCATGCTGTTGCTTGTTCCTCAACAAATTGTTTTCAGTGCCTGGTAATGCTAATCATTTTATCAGTGTTTTCAAGCCCCAGATTTGTTCTTGAGTAAATAGTCTATAAATTTGCAAACAATATCAGAATTTTGGTTATCTTAGTCTTTTACTCTTCCATAAATGTTTAAAAATACATCTGAAGGGCCAAAGACAAAGTAGTGAATGTCATCACAGATAAAATACTTAACCAAAGATATTGTTTAAAAATCATTACAACTTACTCGAAGGAGTCTTAGCTATTTTTATTTATTTTAGCCCTAGGTACACAAAGCAAAGTTTACCTATAGCAGTGGCAGGTTTCTACCTTATTGCAGTGCTTAACAGTAGTTTCAACATTTAACATTTGTTTCAACAGCTTAAAGCAAAGTGGCAAATTCCCTGGAAACCCATGGCCTCCTTACAAGAAGAGAACACCACTACACCCAAGTTACAGGGGTCTCATAAAGCTTTTGCACTGTAAAACCCTGCACATTGTGCTCTTCACACTTCTTTACAAGGTACAGTCATGATTTGCATTAAGTGCATTGGTTTACTCCCACCTTTTTTACAGAGGTTCTTAGAAGCATAATTTTTTTAAAGTTTATTTGGACTAGTTGGGTTCAGTTTTATATAATATTTTTGGTTTTGGTTTTATTTTTCAAGTCTAGTAGGAGTTTTTTTCCTACCACTTTGAATGATTATTTCATATAGATACACACACTAAGCCTGTACCCAAGTGGATGAAAGATCCTATTCTCCTTTGAGGAACACAATTAACCATCAGAGTTGCCATTCAGATTGTTCTTTCACGGTGGTTTCAGGGAGTACAGTGGCATGAGTGGTGTTCCTTTGGCTCCTATTGTAGAATTTTAAGGCATCAGCAGTGCCTGTTCAAAAATATGCAACTTTAATGGCTTTAAATTCTGAATGTCAAATGAGTGTCATAACTGCAGTTGTTTCTAACATTTCCCAAAGACATTCTGAGTCTTGATAATGTTATAGCAAATGTTTTTCAGGGCTAATTGGTGCCTTTAAGTTATGTTTGGTTTTCTTTGATGGTTGGCTGCTGTCTTCAAGAGAAGCACATCCTTTTTGAAGAGTCCATTCATCAGAAAATGGACTTTGAATCTGTACTTAGAAAGTGTTTTCAAAGCAGTGTGCTGCAGAGGCAGATGAGGAGCTATAAAAATTCCTTTGTTTGCATAGCGTTTGTCCTGGGCTGACTTTTCCTTTTGTGCTCTTTTAAGGGCTCCCAGCTTACCTAAAACTCATATTTTGTTTTGCTGTTAAATTTGTGTTGAATAGAAAATACCTGTTGTTATACAGGAAGGCTGCTGAAGGAAAGGAGAGCTTGGGACTACATAGAAGATAAATAATGTTTTGACATGGAACAAAAAAAGGAAAATATAGGGAAGGAATGCATCATCTTTTACTGTCTTCCTTGGATATCTTTGGCCACTTTTTCTCTTATTCCATTAAGAACCTTTAAGGACTTAAATCTTGAGAATCTTAGCCATGACTGGGTTGCTGTTTTAACTGGAATACCAAATACTTTTCTACCAGATTTATGGATGGTGAAAATTCATAGTGGTCGGTTCTGTGGTTTGGCTTATATAATGCCCACTGTCTTTGTGAAATTTTGCCAATTCATGTCAGCCTTTATTGTATCTCTTGGCTTTTGGGTCTTCCTGTGGAAGAACACTAAACTATATTTGGTGATGTTGGTCAACACGACTTTAGAATCCAAATGGTAAATTACACGTGCTCTTCATATTAACAGAATACTGAGTCCCCTTTTTGATTAAATAACTTCTATCATCTCAGATTTGGTTGGGCTTGATTAAATCAGATCCTCAGTCACTTTTTAGAAAACCTATTGTAAAACAATATTATTTTTAAGAACTTTGTCTCTCTGATGTTTCTAATGGCTTTATCAACTTAGAAAATGCATCCTTTTAAAAACCAAATAATATTTAAAACTTTACTAGGCTACACTCTAAAAATTCTAAATTGCATAGTAGCCTGTCTACAATGAAATTTTAAATTTTAACATTTAAAAAAAAATATTTTCTCACCTACGTTTTTGGTAACTTGCATTTTTTTTGTCATTTTCTTTCCTTTAATTCAAAATATTCTCAAGAGGAAAGTTGTCTTGGTTTTTAATTTTAGCAGTACTGGTTCTTCCTCTCAATGAATTGAAAGCTGTGTAAGAAAGATATGGGCATTTATTAATTTGAATATAAGGTTGCTTATTATTTGTAACTAAAAAAGATTATGTAAAGGAAGTTGTGGAGTAAATTGACATTAACCTTTGTGGTATTCCCAGTTGTGATGGCATCACTTAGAGGACTAGGACCTCGTGAGGCTTTTGGTGATTGATCACATGAAAAGGGAGGGAAGGCTTGGAGCAGCTTTTTGCTGTGACTGGCAGTAGTGGTGCCTGTGCACCTGTATCTGTGCCCTCTGGTGTTAAATCACAGCTTGAACCAGTAATAGCTTTAAGGTACAAATTTGTTGGACTGGAAAGACATAAAATCAAATTTTGCTTTTGTGGTGATGATCAAAGGTTAGGTTTTTTCTAAACCTCAAAATAATTTTTAATCAAATTTAAAAAAAACAAACAAAAAATCCACTAAAACTGAAGAGTCCAAAATGTATTATCCAGAACACTCTTTTTTTAAATTTAGATGTACTGAAGCCTTGATCTTCTGTGATGTGTCTCTTTTCCTACCTAGATATTAATGGATCATCAGAATTTATCAGAACATGTGCTTTGCATGGTTTTATACTTGATTGAGCTGGGTTTGGAAAATTCTCCTGAACAAGAATTAGATGAAGAGGTAAGAATAAATACCATAATTTTCTTCAAAATGCAAAGGTATTTTTTAATATTCAATATGCTTTAAAATTAGATTTAACCGTAGTACATAGAATAAAACATCTTTATTAACTTCTGTAGGGAACAAATAATANATGTGTGTTTTAAAATCATGCTATTTTAACAGCTTTTTACATTTCATTGCTCCAGGAATGACAGATGATGAGATCCTCAGAGCGGAGATGGTAGGACACACAGTTCATTATTGGATCTCATATCCTTGGAATATATTCCCTAATGTGCCTGAATGAGAATGACAGGTGCCTGGATAGTAGTGAGGCTTGAACAACATGTTTTTAGGTTACATCATTTAAAAACTGTGTAAAGGTGTGTTTGTATATACTTACTAGCAAAGGCGTTTGCTCCAATTTTGGTTCTTCTTACAATAAATGCAATACTTTTTAATAGTTTAAATTAATTTTGATATGAAATGCTGTACTGGTCTTCAGAAGTCTTTTAGGTGTGAGGTAAAACGTGTCTTCCAGCAATGTTGTAGGAAGTTAAGCCAAGCATCTCATTTTTCTGGATTTGAGCCTTTGATTTTTGCTAAGTTTATGCCAATATAAAACGAAGGCATTCTACATTATATTGGCTTTTGCTATCAATAGCTGAAAATGCAAATAATGGCAATCCTGCATGTTGCTTTGACATTAGAGTGAAGTGCATGTGTTATGGGGAAAGAAAGCAAACTCCAAGGAGTCCTTCTGCACAGGCATAGGATTCATGTCCCTGGACAGCTGACTATAAATATGCAGGTTTTCCTGCTATCACTCCTAGGCTGTGTAGGCAAATTAAGTAGCTTGTGGTTGCATAGAAGAGCTTGCCATCCAGGGATAGCCATTGAGCAAAAGTATTAGGAATATCAAGATAGGAAAGGATGAGATTGAGACTAACAAATGCATAATAAGAATTTTTAATTATTATGATATGATCTAGTAACTCAGTCAAGTATGTAAAATAAGTGGTTACTTAGAATAATTCACTTAAGTGAATGACATAACTATGTAAAATAAGGGAATCATTTATATAAGCAATCACTTATCACTGAGCAGTTTATTTACTTGTAAATGCTGCTTGTGTTTTAGGGTAATGTCAGTAGGTCAGTTAAGTATTGCTACCAAAAGTGAGAACTATGGAATCTAAGGTGCCGAATTATTTATTGTGTTTATTGATCCTGAGCTATTTGCTTGCTTTTTGTGCACTTGAATGAAAATGCAAAATATTCTCCCTATGAAGAGAGAGAAAGTGTTTGTAAAGAAAGGCAGTAACAGAAACTTTATCTACGCTCCAGGCAGTGGTTTTTATTTCTTTATATTAAGTAGTAACAGCTTGAACCAAACATGTAGCAAGTCTTACTTTAAAAAGTTTAGTGTCCTAGCTGGGAGGCTTAGATTCCCTTCAGTAACAGTTACTGTTTGTAGCAGCTGGAGCATACAGACCTCTTGTGGTAAGCACAGAGCACTGCTGAGATGTGGTCTGAAATGACTGCCTGAAAATACCGAGAGGGGAGTGAAATTCTGTGTCCTGCAACTAAATTAACTTTGCTTTCCTTAACATAAGCATTACATTCCAGAAAACCCTAATCCTAAAAGTGGTATTATTCCAGGAAGCTTAAGCTTTGAATCGGTCCTGTCAGCGGTTGCTGACTTTAAAGCCCCTGTTTTTGAACCTGGAGGTTCCATGCAACAAGGAATGTATACACCTAAAGGTATGATAATCAGTGTTCTCTTGCAACATACTCATTGCTAAGATGCCTAACCAGGTTTTGTTTGGTGTTGTTGTAGTGGGCTTTTTTCCTTAAAAGACCCAAAAAGCAAACCCTACCTACCAGTTGAAAACTCCACCCCATCCTCCCCATGAAAAAGCCAAACCTACCACCCCCACCAAAACCCCACAAAACTTTCTCATTATTGTCCATTGCTTATATTTAAGAGCATTGCTAAAGACTATCAGTATAAAATTTAATTTTAATAAATTGATTTTGATCTAGAGTGAAAATGAGCTTCTCATACTAATCAAGTATTCTCAGAAAGCAAAGGAAAATGGAGAAATGAAAAATTTTCTTATTTGTGTTTTGCTGATCTACATACTTAATTATTCATGATTTAAATAAATCTGATGGATATTTAGTAGAGTTTAGAACTGCTTGCACTAGTGAAATGTCAATTGCAAAGATACTTTATTTGAACTTTTCCACCTTTTGACTATTTGAAGATACCACAATACATAATTCTTTATTTTGTGTTGCTTAACTGTATTAGTGTCCTGTAACATTTTTTGCAGTCACAAGTGAAGGTCTAGAAAAAAGTTCAGGCTAGACTTTTTATAGATTATTGTTCTGAAATTCTACAATGCATACAGTGCAAAAATGACAAGTTTCTTTCCCTGACCAGCTTGTCATCTAAATTGGACTCAACACAGCATTGGTATATCAAAGGAGAGAAATAATTTAAGAACTTAGTGTTCCATTACTGTGTCCTGTCACTGAGCAGATAAGCCTGTAGAAATCTGAAATGCTCCATGTGCTGTGGTTGTGCTGCAGGCTAATGGCAAAGCTGAAGAAGGATTAACTCCTTCCTCCCCCACACACCTCCCTTGAGAACTGGGAAGGTTAGAGACTGGCAATTTAAACCATTTGTTTTTGTGGGTTTTTTTGGTGGGAGTGGTGGTTAATGTAGGTACTAGTATTGTAATAACATGTTTGCCAGTTTTTGTACTGGAAGATTGAAGTGTCGAATTAACAACTAGTGAAGTGATTTTGTGAAACCAAAGTTTTGGGAATTGATTAATCGTGGCTCTTTGATGTGGAATTAGGCAGCTGAACACCCATATATCTAAAATAACTTAATGTTACATAAACTACATTTCCTTATATCCTGTCCGGTTTCTGGAGCTCATTACATGCTGGTCTTTTTCATAACACAGTGTGAAGGGAAAATAAATGGATTATGCTGGTTTTAGTCATAGCACTTTGTATTTAGGAAATCTAGTGTTAGATAACAGTGTCTGGAGTTTTTTGTTTATAGGGTATTTTATAACTTAAGTAAACAATTTGTTCAAGAGGTAAACAGTCTTAAGTGTCTCGTGTATAGCATTGAATAATGAAGTGGTTTATAACACTATACAGATTCCCTTTTTCTTGAAGTAATAAAAGCTGAAAAATCTCCTGCAGGAATAAAAGCTGACATGGCTTTCTTTACTCTCTTAAGTGTTTATATTCTCCATAAGATTATATAGGTTTTCAAACCCTTTGCTTTTAAGAACTGTAGGCCTGTCACAGTTAAAACAAGTAATTATCAGATCAACTCCCTCTAATCCTCTAATCCCTTGTTTCCCTAAATTTGAGGGGGTGGAATCTACTTTATGTTCACAGATCCCTAGATTTTGCTTCCATTAACCATCATTTAAGAAAACAAAACCACCCAAACCAACTTCCAGAGCCAGGTTCTTTCTACACCCTGTAGATTTGTGTGCTGAAGATGAGCTGTGTGTGCATTTCCAATATTCACTGTATGGCTCACTCAGTCCTTTTTTCTCATTATGTATTAGCAGCCCAAACAAATTTGGTGTCTGTTTCAAACTGTAATACTAAATTCTGTCCAGAAACAATGTTGGAGTTTTTTTCACAGGCTAAATTTAATTCTATTTCATACACAGTGGAATACTCTGCTAAGTGTTCTCTCTCAGCAGTCTGTGAGGATATTTGTAGAACTGTTAGCCTTAGCAGGGGTTAATACATAGAGGATAGACTAGGTGTGAGTACAGACACTTGTCTTCCTGCCTGGGGAAATTAATCTCAGAAGTGTGGTAAAGCTGCTTATTTCTGCCTGTGGAAACCCTGAAGAATGTTGTAAGCACTTGTGTTGTGTTACGCCTGCTGGTGGAGCTAAAATTCTGTATCCACTGGGTTTCTTTCTTCCTTGTTTTGGGATCATTGAATCTTGCCTTCATTTTTTTCTGTTAGGAGAGCTAAACACTTCAAAACAATTCATAGAATTCATGTCTTCATTTGGCTTTAGATTGGAACTTAGTTTTGTTTTTGAATAACTTTTAAAAAGAAAAAAAAGGTCGTCAAATGGGATATTTTTATAGACTTTAGATTTTTCTGTTTGTGATTTCTCTGAACAGCCACTCCAGATGTCACTTTAGAGCTGCTAAATTAAACGGATGTAATTAAGCTTTTAATGCTGAAACAATGCATAGATACTAGTTGTAAAACAAAGGCATGTTTGTAAAGGATTGATCACATATTATTTGATACAAAGCGTGACCATTTCTGATACTGAACAAGAAATTATGTTGTTGCAACAATTTTGTTCACTACACTTAGTGGTAAAATATCATCTGCCTGCAAACAGCTCCACAGTCTTTACTTCCTACTTTCAAGAGGCTTGTGCTTATCATGTACCAAGTGAAAAATAATGTAAACCTTTTCTCACATGTACATGGAAATGAAAAAGAGCAAAACAAGATGCATACAGAAATGATGTTTTGGGGGTTGCTTAATAGTGTGTTATTTTTTTGTTTTGAAACCAATCAAAATTCGCAAAAACTATTTTTCTATTTTGATAAACAGTGGTAATTATTAGTACAGAAAGTATTATTAGTAAGAATTATTATAAATGCCTGTAGTTTGCCAGGAGAAATTATATAATAGAATTGACATAATTAAAGCTAGTTAAGAAGAGAATCTAAAATAACTGATAAGGTCTCTAAAGAGAATGTTAACATGTAACTTCTTTCAAACAACAGCTGAAGTCTGGGATAAGGAGTTTGACCCTGTCATGGTCATACTTCGAACAGTTTACCGCAGAGATGTGCAGTCTGCAATGGACAGATACACAGCATTGTAAGTTGGATCATTTTTAGAAATGCAACATCATACTGTTGCTTGTTCCTCAACAAATTGTTTTCAGTGCCTGGTAATGCTAATCATTTTATCAGTGTTTTCAAGCCCCAGATTTGTTCTTGAGTAAATAGTCTATAAATTTGCAAACAATATCAGAATTTTGGTTATCTTAGTCTTTTACTCTTCCATAAATGTTTAAAAATACATCTGAAGGGCCAAAGACAAAGTAGTGAATGTCATCACAG